TATATATATATATATATATATATATGTATATGTATATATTTCAATTCCTATAAAAGTAATAATGATTATATAATGATTATATCCTTAAGTAAAATGATACTATGATAAATTGTTTGACTAATTTAAATATTTGGATATTTATTGAAGATAACATCATGGTTGATATAATGATGTTATAATATTTTATGCAAAGAGAAAAATATAAACATTTATATTTATAAAATATTTATTTCATATTTCAGGTAATGCGCGAGGTCGGCTGGGTAATTTTTGATGAAATTCATTACATGCGCGATAAAGAGAGAGGAGTAGTATGGGAAGAGACACTTATATTACTACCAGACAATGTACATTATGTATTTCTTTCCGCTACTATACCAAACGCACGACAATTCGCGGAGTGGGTGGCACACTTGCATAATCAGCCTTGCCATGTAATATCTACAGATTATAGGCCTACTCCATTGCAACATTACATATTCCCAGTTGGAGGTGATGGTATCCATCTGGTTAGTGATAATCCATATGAAATGTCTGCTCGAGGAAGAAGAGAAATACGCCGTATATTTAAATACTAAATTTGTTTTGTAAAATAGGTAGTAGATGAAAATGGTCAATTCAAAGAGGAAAATTTTAATAGAGCTATGGCATGTCTGCAAAATATGGGCGACGCGACTAAAGGCGACACGAAAGGACGCAAAGGTGGTCTACGTGCCACAAATAGTGGACAAACGAATATCTTCAAGATGGTAAAGATGATCATGGAGAGGAATTTTGCACCTGTGATAATTTTCAGTTTTTCGAAAAAAGATTGCGAAGTTTACGCGATGCAAATGGCTAAATTGGATTTGAATACATTAGAGGAGAAGAAATTAGTAGATGAGGTTTTCAATAATGCGGTAGACGTTCTCAACGACGAAGACAAAAAGTTACCTCAAGTCACGAATTTGTTGCCGCTTTTGCGACGTGGAATAGGAATTCATCACGGTGGACTTTTACCGATTTTGAAAGAAACAGTCGAGATATTATTCGGCGAAGGTCTAATTAAAGCGCTTTTTGCCACTGAAACGTTCGCGATGGGCTTGAATATGCCGGCACGAACGGTTTTGTTTACGGCACCCCGTAAATTTGATGGCAAGGACTTCCGTTGGATCACGTCGGGTGAATATATTCAGATGTCCGGTCGCGCTGGCAGGAGAGGTCTCGATGACAAAGGAATCGTCATATTGATGATTGACGAGCAAGTTAGTCCCGTCATTGGTAAAGCTATCGTTCAAGGAAAGCCCGATCCAATCAATTCCGCATTTCACTTGACCTACAACATGGTTCTTAATCTTCTCCGTGTAGAAGAAATTAATCCAGAATATATGTTGGAAAGAAGCTTCTTTCAATTCCAAAATCAAGCTGGTATTCCAATTTTGTACAATAGTAAGTTGCTGTTAATAATGTTTAATATTTAGCAATTAAAAAGTTATAAAGATTGTCAGTAATTTTAATTATGTTTTCAGAGGTAAAAGAATTATGTACTGCCTACAATACTGTGAATGTAGATAGATACGACGAGATATCTTCTTATCATGATATACGCGAACAACTTAATCGTCTGAGCGCAGAGTTTCAATCATTTTTAACGCGACCAGAATATCTGGTCCCGTTTTTACAACCTGGAAGATTAGTAAAAGTATGTATTTTACAATATAAAATTATGCGCACTGACCTGGTAAAATTTTTGACGAAATTCATTTATAATTCTTATCGTAGGTGAAAAATGAAAACGAGACTTTCGATTGGGGTATTGTAGTGAATTTTAAGAAAAAAATCCAAAAAATCCAGTAAAAGATAAGACTGTCATCGTCATTGATATTTTACTTCATTTATCGAAAGATTCTAAAGAAGGCAATCCAATTCCGTGTCACGAGGATGAAGAGGGTGAAATTGAAGTTGTCCCCATTTTGCATAATTTAATTTCACAAATCAGTTCACTCAGATTATATTATCCAAAAGATTTGAGACCGCCTGATAATAGAAAGAGTGTACTAAAAACAATACGAGAAGTGAAAAGGAGGTTTCCAGATGGCCCACCCTTACTCAATCCTATTACAGATATGCATATAGAAGATCAAGCTTTTAAAGATATTGTGAAAAAAATTGAAGCAATTAGAAAAAAAGATTATATGCACATTCTTTGCACAAGGTAAAAATAGTCCTGTCAGTACTTGAAATATTTTGTACAAATTTTGAAAAAATTTTTCAACTTTCAAAGATTAACATTATATATATATATATATATATATATATATATATATATCTAGATTTGTATATCCTTATTAAATTATATATATGATTCCTATATGAATTCCATTATATTGCCCGTTATTTACATAGCCCAGTTGCGATGCGTTTATAATAAACAAAGGCAGCTTTCGTTTAAAATCAGGGAGAGTTTGTCCAAAATTCTATTTATTCCTGGGAATTTAAAGTATATAATGGAAAGAACTTTCTTTTTCTCTTTTTTTTATAAAATAAAAATTATATTCGCGCAGAGAGTGCATCACAATACGACTTCTTCTCGTACAAGAAAAATTCAGCGTAAAAATGTATACTCGCAAGATAAACAGGACTCAATAACTGCTATCTCGAAGTTGTTAAATAAATACATTTCTGAAGAATATTTCGCGACACTTAATTTCTACATTTCAATTTAATTACAACATATTATTTATCGTTCTTCTAAAATTACTGTTTCCTGGGGACAAAATTTCAAGTCCATCAAAGTAAGCTTTGAATCCATAGATGTTAACTGAAACAAGTAAATTATGTATTAACACGTTTCAAATATCTTCCAATAATGTTTAAAAAGATTTTCAGAGTGGTTTTGTTTAAATTTTCTTAAAGATGAGAATAACATTAAAAAAATCATATAAATAAATATCTACATAATAGGAACTTAAATGCTTACATCATCTACTTACATCCCTTCGAGGCCAACTAGATAGGAGCTTGTATTCCTCTGTAGGATAACCTTCCACAATAAGGAAATTAAAGAGTGTTTGTAATGGTGTATCTGATTGAAATTTACGTTCCAGGAATTTTCCAGCCGGCAGTCGTACTCTTACTTTCATTACACCATCGCCTGCCCCTTGTTGTGGTTCAGGTGGTAAACTAGACTCTACAGCTTGTCTGTGAGCTTCTTTTCTCGCTTCTTCAGCTAACCTTTCATTTTCAGCTTGTTCCTTTTTTTCTTTTCAAGTTCCTCTTGCATCTGTTTCGCTTCTTCTTTCGCTCTTAAAATATATTTTACAAATATTACATTCTTAGTTCAATGCAAATTATTTGTGTACATGCAAATATTGTATTGCCATCTCTATAATAGTTTAGATATATCTTTTTTACCTATCAGCTGCCAAACTCTCTTGATATGCTCTGTCTTGTTCCTGTTTGACTCTTTCTCTAGCCTGCCGTTCTTCTTCAACACCGATATCAGCTCGTCTTTGCTCCTGTATCAAAAAATAACAAATTATGTATAAATCAAAACTTATATCTTTCAACAATACGTATGAAAAAATTCTTACTTGAAACACATCGACGGCTTGTACCAAATTCGTTAATAACTCATTAACACCTACATTGCCGTCTACGATCGTAAATATCTCTGTATTCGATCTAGATCTCATAATAATCATAAGAACTGGCAAGGTATCGACATCTATGCTTGACACAGCCAAAGAACCGACGGTACCAAGAGTTTGAGTTACAGAATACAAAAACCTGAAAATCGAACGAACATTTAACTGGGGTGAGTTTAATAAATGTTTACCATTATTTGTGTGAATTTTTACCTTTCTTTGTTAGAGTCATATGTGATATCCCAACCCCAAACTATAAAATTTGCTGAAAGAAGTTGAAGCACCGTTTCGAAGCCTAATAGTTGAGTACAAAAGACATTTGCTAATACGCTGTTATCGTGATGTAAATATACAGCCAATAATTTTCTCTGCAACGGCATAAAACATTTATATATTTTGATTGATTCTTCGTTATAGTTTTTAGTATCAAAATTTAGAACAAACCTCTTTCGCTGGTTTTAAACACGATTCTTTCAGAGCGTCTTCGAATGTACCTGTGAAAAATTCTGGATGCGCTGGTCCATATCGTTTTTCGAATTGCTCCGCGAAATGTAACGTACCCATCACCTCATCTACTACATTCTCTGGCACTGTTTATAAATAAAAAAAAATATCTCATTCAATTGTGATACCAACATATGGTATTGCTTCAATAAAACACAGCAGTTTCCTTATGTTCCAATGCACTCACTGAGACGTTCTATTTTAGTGGGTTTAACGTCGTCTATGAAAATATCATCGTCACCAGTAAACTCTTCGGGAACATCTTCAAATTCTTCCACATCTTCCGGCTCGTCTATGGAACTATCACTGTCAATTAAATCTACGACCTTCTGAAACAACATGAATTTTTTGATTATAACGTTATAAATAAATATATCGACAGAAAACTTATTTTCAACGACTTCTTACCTTTTTTTCTTCCTTCGCAGGAAGCTTCCCAACGAACAAATCGTGTTCTGGAAAACATATCCCACTTTGTGCCAGTATCACATTATCATCTTTGAGCGAACTAGGCCAACCTTTCCACTGCTGATTTCGCACAGGTACATCTATTAACGAGTAGATGTCCGCCTTTACTTCTAGCACAGTACGCGTGCCAGGGAATTTCAGTTTATACGTTTTATTGTGAACCTCGTCCTTTATGTTCAATGTGTAAAACTGAATCATGCGATCTGACAGACTTATGCTGGAGCAACAAAAAAATATAGATTTGTGATTACAATTGCAAAATTGTGTTGGCAAAATTTTACAACTTACCTTTCATTAGCCAAGTCGCCATCTTGTGATAATGATGATAAATATAATGTACTTTCTCTAGGCAAATCTAATGTTTGCAGTACTGTATTCGGTGTTTCAGGTTCTGTCTTCCATCCATGAAGATTCTGTTGGCAGGGTGCTACACTCGTTTTATACCATATAAATTGCTTAAGATCTCCTAAAAAAAATAATTTGTTTATAACCTGACCTGTTTTGCTTTGAAATTTTTTGTTAAGTCATGACCATCAATTGATCATTTATATAAATATAAAAAATCTATACTTACTCAAAGTGGACAACTCAGATAAATTTAGCTTATAAATGTTATCAAGATAATTAATATGGAATGTAAGTATTCTGTTTTTCATACAACTCTTAGATCTACTCGTTCCAGGTTTTGCATTTTCTATTATATCTGCTTTTGCAGTTACTGTCTTTTTCGAATTCTGCACCACTTGCAG